GCTCTGTGTGTCTGCGCTTGGGTTCTGTTCAAGTTGCTGGCCTCCGTCCAGCGTGACATTAAGAGAAAAACTAAGATAATCCATCCACAATACGAGGTTAGTCATTAATATACTGCAACAACATGGGAATAGAGCAGCTGCGAGAGAATTCAGCATTAATGAATCAGTGGTATGGAAGTGGAGGAAGCGCAGTTTTTGCCTTTCCCCATATTCCAAAAGTGATTCGTCTCTTTGCTATACTATCACCCGGCATAATTTGCAGATGTTGTTTGCAGCCGCTGCAATGCTTTTGACCAAAACAGGCGCAGCTTGATGACACCATCAACATGCGCTATTGTGGTAGAGCGGTATAGTCAAAATCTCTACCGTTGGCCAAATTTATATCGTTTCTACCGTATACCGTTTATACTGCCCACCCCTACTTGGAGACTTTCAAACGTCTTAATGTATTTTTGAACTTTATGCATGTGTGTAGCGTAAGAGGAAGAGAGAGAGAGCGTGATTTTGACTTTACATAAATTACCTTGCTTTAGCATTTCTCCTGGAACTCCGCAAAGTCATCTTGAGAGACAGGAAAGATTTTTCTGGACTTGTTTCCACTAATGGGAACCTAAGGAAAGGGCATTTAATATATTTATTTAAAGTATTGAATAACTTTAATGGCAAAACTTAAACAGGAAACAGGTTTTGATCACACAGCTTACTTCTTGTGAAGTCCAGTATCAGAGTCAGAGAGACTTTATTTATCCCCAAGGGGAAATTAAGATAGTATTTCATTTCCTTGGCTGTCTGTCAGGGTAATCGCCTCATCACAGCCCAAGCGATCCTTCATCTTCTATGTTAGTCCTTCAACATTGCCTTCAGCTTCCAAAAAGCCAATGATGACTGTTTTGTAAATGCTGAGCTTATCAATCACTATTTCGGCAATGTGTACCAACCTGTTAACAAAGCAGATTATTAAAAACAACAACAAAAACAACAAAACACTCCATCTATGGTTGTAAAAAGATTGTACTAGTAAAGACAGATTGAATATTGAACAACTAACCTTTGAAAGGATCTTGCTGAGAACAGGCTGAGCTCATATGTTGAAGTCTGAATTTCTGCCCACTTTAACTTATGAATAGAACTGAAATAGGAAAAATGTTTGCATCAGTTACAACACTTCCACTGATGATGTGTTGCAACCCATTTGTGCTTCATCCTGGGCCACATACATATTCCACTTCAGTTATTGAGTCCTCTCTATGTATATGAAAACAAAACTATAATGTCCAAAAGAAATTGCTGGAAAATGTCTCTAAATAGTCCTTAAAATTAAACTGGAGAAGCTGGCCAGCAAACAAACAAAAACATGTATGCATATAGAGATCTGTGTGCGTGTGTGAGTACTTTGATCCAAATACTTAATCACCCAGCAGAGATTGTAGCAGCCAGCTGATGCTCGCTCTTTTCAGTGGCACTGAAACAGGACAGGTCCGTGTTGAAGGCCCGAAAGAAACATCTCCTCACCAGCTGGAGGATGGATAACAGTGACTTTAAGGATGTCACGTGTATAGATGTCAGCAGGCTCACACAACATTGCTCTGCCAAAGATACAGGCCATGTGCTCATAGCCCCTCCCACCAGATTTGGCTACGAAGTTGACTGTCGTGATACAGTCGTAAATTAAGAAACATCATATTACTTAAACGCAACTGTGGAGCAAAATGTAAAAAATTGAATGTAGCTGTACAGCGTAAATTAAAAGTAAATTAACACTGGGTTACAGCACCATACTGTAAAGCAGTGTTGCCAACTCCTAAGTAAGGGAAATCGCTATCCGCTCTTTAAGTCTGACGTCATTAGCCATGTCTGGGCCCAAACTCCGCTGCAGGTCTCTTAGTCAAACGATCACTGCAGCATTACCGAGAGTTGAAAAACTGTCTAAATTCTTTCATCTGTAATAAAATGATCAGTGTGGTTGCTCTACCAGATGTAACAATTACATTTAATATCCAGGCATCCATGAAAACAAAATTTATGAAATTTAACGGAGTTAGAAGTTAGCAGCAAGTTAGCTCGCTAGTTTCCACCTAAACATAATGTACCATGTTCTGACTGAGGGATTTCTGAAACAAATTAAGACGTACAGCTTTGCTATTACTTCCCAAATAAATGAAGACAGGAAAGTAAACAGCAGTGAGGTTTGTAGGGTTACTGAAGTTTGGCTAGCTGGTATATAATGATGCGCTACGTGACCGCTAGCGACACAGCTATGTTAGCATAATATAAACAGTGAAGCTGGAGGACAAAGTCGCTAGATGACGTCATAGCCTAATTTGCATAATTGGTCATGTAATTATAAAGGACCCTGTAGGAGAGAAAAATAACGTCATGAAAGAGACATAAAGTCAATAGAAACACCCTGAAAGCATTTAATATATATTTAGAACCACAAATTTGATTTCTTTTAGCAATTATTGTTTTTGTTAATGTCACAATTCCAACCCTCCTCCTTTATCCGGACTTGTGACCGGGAAAACTGACCCGAAATAGGCACTCTGGCAGTTACTTTTTTGTTTATGTGTCTTTGTGTGTCTTTTAAAGAGTTTTAAACCTTGGGATCCACAAAAAAGCAAGAGTAAAAGACGAACATTTTTAACCATAATGTTGTTAACAAACTACATTAATGGACATAGCAAGCATCACCAGACAGCTTCAGTCGAAATTGGATGTAGAAGATAGAGTTAAGGCTCTGCAAGGACATCCGATTTCTAAGTTAGCAATGATTGGAATGGTGTATTTTAGTACATTG